AGTACCTCAAGAGCATTCATTTGCATATAAACAATGAAAATTCCATATAAGCAGAGGAGCCTTGTTTTTTCTTAGGTGTTTTGGTAAATTAATAACAAACAGTTCTTGTCAACTTCCATAGTCTATGTGTATTAGGAAATGATAGAGCTGCATTCATTTTAAATATTCTATACTTTTGAATATTCATAATTTCTTGAATGTCACATTATGTGATTTTTCTCTGAATTAGCCTGAATTTTCTTCAATTACTTCTCAATTCATGGTAGTTATAGGAGTGTTTTTCTAGAAGGATTTGGATTAATTCATTGTGTGTTACCCAGATGTCATAGATGACAATTGAATCCCATTTCATTTCCTGTTGTCTTGGGTTAGCTTCAGACAACCCAACAGATTTTGCAAAAACCTGTTAGGATCCACTGTCCTACCTGCAATTTAATTCCAAATGTTTTGTGGACTTTTTGCATCTTTCTTCTCCAATAACTCGGTGTGTTTCTCCTCCCTCCCCAATATCAATCAGAGACTATATAAATATAGTAGTTGCACTAATAATAAACACTTTGCAAGTATTTATTTGTGTAGACAAATATGAAAGATTTGGGCATAACACAGAGAAACACCCAGCACAGAATAAAGCTGTCATCTTGGTTCCATTCCCTCCATGCCCCATCCCTGCCTCTATGATCTCTTTCTTTTCCCCCCAATCCTTCTCTTTCCCCTGCCAGTCACTCTTCTCAGAGGCAAAGTACATTGCACCCATTGTCTTAAGCACAGCAGCTCCCAATCACTTCCTGTACTTTGGGCATTTTCTTGTACTTTTGTTCCCCACTCCCAAGTGGCTGCTCAAAATACTTTTCAGAATACATTTTGTTAGGTAAGTTCAAGAAAGGATGTCTTGAGAAAATATTCTGCCATTAGGAGGGATGTGAGGAGCTGAACAAGTAAAAGGTACAGGATGAGTTCCCAGGCAGAAAGAAGAGCCTGTGCAAGCTATAGACACATGTCATGGCTTAGCATGTCCAGAAACTTCTGGTAAATCTTTGCGATTGGGAGCTAAGAGTAATTATGGGGAGTGACTGATAAAAGGATGGGGCTGGAGGGGAAGGCAAAGGTCAAGCACAGATGACCTTCGTGTGTTATAAAACAATGTTTGTGTTTTCTCCATTCGGTGATGATAACCTAGTGCAGCATGGCAGCCCAAGTGATGAAGCAGCAGAATTTGCAGAGATGCAGATAGAAAATTGGTGTAACGTCAAAGACCTGGGCTAGCTGATCATGGGGACTGCAGAGGACATGACATATTTCAGAGTGAAATAGGAAATAAGATTTGTGATTAATTAGTGGGTAAGGGGAAAAAAGCAACAAGGCTAGAAAAACCCTAAGTTTCTACCTTATTTGTTAGAGAATGCAAGCAAAGAAAGTATAGAAATTAGGAGATGTTTAGTTTTAGAAATATAACTTAATTTCATTTATCCTTGTACTATCTTAATAAATTGAGAAAGATAACAGGTCATTGGTGTACAGCAAGCAGTTAGAACACGTTCAAAGTTGTAACTGGGCCTCTCCAGTGGTGCAGCGGTTGAGCGCTGGGCTGCGAAGCTGCCTGTAGCCTCTGCAGCGCTGGTTTGATCCCCGGCCACCAGCGAGGGTCCCACATGGCACGCAGACCTCTTCTGCCGCCCGTTGTTCCCCTCAGCAGTGTCTTTGGTCCCTCTGCCTGTTCTGCTCCCCGCTCTGGCTCTGGTGAAATCTCGTGCTTCTGACTGTTCCCAGTGCTTGTATAAATAAATAAATAAATCTTTAAAAAAAAAAAAAAAACACTAAGTTGTAACTATTTAGCAGCATGCTTTTGGAAAATGTCTGGGACAAACTCCCCTTCATGTAACAAATTCTGGCCACATTATTTTACACAAGCATTGGTTTGCAATTTTTCTTTTCATGTCACTGTAACTTGCCACTTGGCTGTCAGATACAATGCTTGACAATGGCTGAGGATGTTCTGCTTTGTTTTTTTGTTTTGTTTTTTTTTTTTAATTGGATTATCAAGCCATTATAATTCAGGGTGGAATAAATGAACCATTTAATATTTCTTTAGTTGTTGCCTTCAAACTCACTTGGTCAGAACTGTTCTCTCTAGCCCTTTCCCCGTGATGCTATCTTAGGAGAACGGCATAACATTTGTGGTCGTTTGCAATGATGACAGTTTAATTTCAGTATTTTTTTTTTAGATTTATTTATTTATGCATACAAGAGCTGGGGTACAGACCAGAGATGTAGGGGGTAGAGGATTCACCACAGCGTGGGGAACAGAACAGGCAGACTGACTGAAATACACTGCTGAGGGGAGCAGCGGGCGAGACAGGGGAGGTCTGCTGCACCATGTGGGCCACTCTCTGGCCGGCTGGCTGGGAACTGAAATGTTGCAGAGGCTGTGGATTGCTTCATAGTGCGGTGCTTAACCCCTTGCACCACCAGAGAGGCCCTAATTTCAGTATTTTAGACTCCTTTTAAGTATTCAGAAGTCCTTTCCAGACTACAAAAGACTTTCTTCTCATGCCCAGTCCAAAGCATCCCCTCTCTAGATCTTCTAGTTCAGAATGGGGAAAATGGTGGGCAATACAACGGAGCTGTTTTTCTTAGCTGATCCGGCAGGTATGATTCCCATCTGACTGGGGGTGTGGAAGGCCAGGCCTTTTCTGCAGGTCACCATGTTCCTCTGTGCAGCAAGAGCTCTGGCAGGGAGTGGTGTTTACTTTCCTGACATGGAAACTTCTCATTCTGGACGGCAATGAAATTAACCATTTCCCATCATTCTCCATTTTTTGAACTGCATTCTAACCCCATAGCCCCATGAAATTCCTGGTAACCTTCAGTTACATTTTTTTTTTTTCTAGAAGTGAAATAAGGACAGGTTGTCATCATTTTTATGATGCTATCCATCAAAAATAAAGTGATCTCTGAGTGTGATTGGTATGTATACTAGGAATTTGAAATTGTCTCTTGAAATCAAATCAAATTTAAGATGCTGAGAATAAGGACTGTCCCACACCACAAATGGAAACTATGTAATGTATTCTTTCTCCCTATGACTTTCTTCAATTTTCTATTTAAAGAAATTTATGAAAATACATGAATTATGCAACTTATCTCTCAGATAAAAAGGAATTTTCTTTTTGGATTGGGTGACTGCATATTTATTAATAGCAGTAAAATTTTCCATGTTCTTTTGTATCAAATGAGATGCTGACTAAAATATGAGAGTGCCTTTCCAGCAATAATAACAGTAACGGATGAATAATTATAAAAGCTATAAGGAATCAAAAGGCATTTTGATTTGTTATTACTTCCAGGGGTTCAGAAAAGATCTGACTAATTATTCTAACTATAAAAAGAAAGAGTGTGGTATTTTTCCTCATTATAGGATTAAGTTCTTAATATTCCACTTTTACTATAAGTAAAAAAATTATAGTAAAATAAAATTCTCCTAGTTTCCTCTAACGATATATTCATGACTAAAGGCTGCTTAACTGCAGTGTGTTTCGTCACCTTCTTATTACATGGCAATGCTGCACTTCAAACTAATTTTAATTTAAAAGGTATTCATCTTTGCAGTTATAACAATGACATTACACTTGTTTGCTCAGTGAAAACTCCCAATCATTATGTCCCATTAATTCATGAAGATGACAAAGACTGTAGAATTTCCATAGGTCATGAGCGGACATTGGCAAACATTGAATACACCATATTAGAAGATGATTTTTCTTTTAGTGACAATGACTGTGCCTTTTAGTGACAATGACTGTGACTACCAGGGTTATACCAAGGCCAACTTCCAAAGCTATTTACAAAAAAAAAAAAAATGCATGTGGTATCCCTCGTTTTTGTCTGAATTAGACCAACAGCATTCAAATTCCTTTCGAGATTCTAAGACTATTCTATGTTAGTACTTTTTCTTAGAAAGTAAACTTTAAAGCTAGGCTGTGTTTCTCTAGTTAGTGATAGAGTTTTCCTTTGTACCTTGTGAATTTTCATCTACAATATTTGCACTAAGACATTTAAACCTTGGTGATGAGGGATAGGAACAACTACACAAGTATTCTAACCTGCTCCAGAACTAATTACCAGCTGCTAGAAGATGCTGCTTTGACAGCCTCATTGAGTCAGAAGACATCATCAATAGCATGAGTGAAATCCCCTCAGATAATGTCCACAGGTAATTTTGTCTTCTGATTCTGATCTTTCACAGGGCTTAGCTGTTTAACCTTTGTGCCATTAACTTAGCCAATTTGAGCCTCAGTGTTCTCACCTTTAGAAAGAGGAAAAAATGCAATCCACATTCAAGATGGTTTTCGGCTTAAATTACAATGGAAAGTAAATGTGAATTCTTGACACATAGCATGTATACTCTAAGTGGTAGTGTCTTCTTACCATAAAGGAAAACAAGACTACAGCCCTTTAAAAGTTGGTTCTATGTTTGGTTTAAATCAGTACTTTTTGAGAGTAAAACCAGAAGCAGTTTTTCTTAAGAGGGAAAATATAGAATGAATTGAGAATGAATTTGTAATATTGAAATCTAAAGTTATAAAGTCATTCTTCCTTCCCCACAAGGGGCTTTTACTAGTAGTTATAATCAAAACTTAAAGATGGGTATATACAGTATTCCTTAAATAAGAATCCCTTTATTATTTTCATTTTAAAAACCTTTGGAATTAATTAATTTAATTAATTAATTTGGAATTAATTAATTTGGAATTAACTTAGTATCTGAAATGGCAGTATAATATTATATATTTTCCTCTGCCTACATACAGATATATTGATAATTGAGTTATATACACAGATTATTTAGAACTTAAAAGATTCACCATATAAACTCAGATTTATTTTAATTTCATGGCTAAAGTGATGTGAAGGGTGGGAAGGGAAAAGAGAGAGAGAGAGAGAGAGAGAGAGAGGTAATTATGAAAGAAGGTAAGACTGTGTTTCCTTCTGTCTTATAGCCTGAAGAATAAGTAGTGAAAACATCAATCAAGAGATGTGAAAAAAAACCAGGATTTCTCTGCCGCGGAGAATTGCTTATCAACCACCAGAGGAGGATTCTTTCTTAGACAATGAACATTTCTTATGAGGATTCACAGATTAACATATGACTAATCTTAGCTTTGGAAAATGAATGAGCTTGCTTTCTTTCTTTTTGATTTTATGGTAAGTTATAATATTTGGATGGATTTTTAAAATTCTTTCCTGATCATATATTTAGCACAAGTTCTAAGTTATAATCCTATAGCAAACAGTGGGAACATCATTCAAGACAATGGAACAATCTTAATTTTCCATTCATTCTAGATTTCTTCCACATAGAGTTTATTCTATGAAATCTTTGATGATTGTGATATAAACCACCTCTATTCAGATTATTTTTTCATCATATAGAACTTGATTGGTGGCAACTTCCATAGAACCAGATAAATCTCTCTTAGTAGAAGATACATAATGGACACAAATACCAAAACTTCTCATTTCACCATCTAAATGTGAACCAGGTTTGCTCTCTGAACCATCAGAATGAAGAAGGTAAATAAAGAGAGAATCCTCATCCATTTTTTCTAATCATTCAAAGAACAGTTTCTCAAGGTTAAGCCAAGTCCTCATTGCAAGCTGCCAAAATAATAGCTTAGGAAAAGAATTAGTTTGCCTGCATGATGATCCTCTTAGGCAAAAACGTTTTAACAGCAGTTGACCTTGATGAAATGTTTTCCCAAAAGAAGAGGGATAAATCCCAGAATGAGTTGGAAATAAATGAGTATTTCTTATGAAGTTGACCTGAATGGTGGACTGTAATGTTGGGCACTGATGAATTGGAAAGAAGGGAGCAAATTCTGAAGAAATGACAGTCTTGGATACAGTGAGATTCCTTATTTCCTCTGTTCTTCGCTGAAGTCTTCTTGCTTGTCAAGATTCAATCACTTTGGAAAGAACACAACTGGTCAGTATGGCAGACCTGTAAACTTACTCACTAATGGAGAACGTTTCTGAGTGTAAATGGTAAAACTCTTTTTCTAGGTTTCATTCTTCTCCATTGTGACTGGATTTGATGTTCCTGCAGGCTGCCTACAAAGCCAGACATTTAACGTCTATTCATGATGCTTTGCGTGTCCAGCTGGCATCTGGCTGGCGTTGCGCTTTGACCATTGTGACCACAGGCACTTGATCTCCTGGTGTCAGGATTTTCTGAATGTCTATTGTTTTTCCACAGAGAACTGCGGTGGTTACAACTCAGTAAGCAATAAATGAAGCAACTTAGAAATGCACAGTGTTGTTATTAAGGTATTTGAAATGTGGCTCCATTCCCTTGGGGAGGACTCCATCAGAAGGGACCAGGGTTGCCTGTCTCTAGTGCCTGCAGAGGGAAGGAGTCACCCAGCCACAAGCTGTCCCAGGAGGGGAGTTGGGTTGGATGGGAAGCAGCCAACCTGTTTTGCTGTTTGGAAAGCACACTAGAGAGCTACAAACCTCCAATGATGACTTTTCTTTGAATGTGTAAAATAAGGCTTTATTTGTCAATTCTGCTGTAAAATAAGCACTGTCAAGTAAAAGAAAAGAAAAGAAAAAAATGTCTTTGTTTCTACTTGTATTGAGTGAGTAAAGTTATACTCTCACATATCTTTTAAACAACCTGACAGAGACAAGTCTATGAACATAGATGTCTTTTGCTTTACAGAAAGACCATGGCCCACTCTCTAAAGATAAAATTAAAGAAAAAATAATTAGCTAAATACACAAGTATTTCAGAGTTCTAGATTTAAATACCACTGCTCATTGGCCAACTGTCAAGTGAATACCCTGCCAGAGGGTTTTCTTGGTTATCAATTTTCTTTCTTTATTTTTGCCTGTGCAGACAAGGGAAATCATCAGTCCAGTGTACTGTGGAGGTGCCAATTTTGAGCTTTAAGCAATAAGGGCCTGTGAGTATGCTTTAACTGGGGAAAGTCTTAAATGCAAAGAACTGTATTTAGGAAGCTGGCTGGTGGTGGTGGTGTTTTTTTGTATGAATGTTTGTTAAATTAGGTTCTATTTTACTGTCTAATTTTCATGAACAATTGGGAGTGAGAATGAAAAGTAAATACTTGCAAAGCTAAATTAATTTTGGTGGCAGAGAAGTGACCCACACAGATCTGGAGGCCATTATGGGGCTGTTCTGGAAGGGACACCTGACTACCACAGAGATGTTGGGAGAGAAGAGGAAAAATTCAGGGAATTCCTATAAATCTTAGTACAGGGAAATGAGGGAAAAAACTCTGAAAGAGTGAGACTATTCCATGAATGATATTTAATGTGTATATACTTGTAGTAATGTCAACTAAACTAACCAAGTACTGCCCATTTGAAGTTTTGTTCCAATGAGGGAAAAATGATTCAAAATTAACATAATGCACATGACTCATAGCCTCCTTATAGTAAAGTGACATTTTTGTATTTAATAGGATCCTTGCTTAGTGGGCAAAATAGTCTATATCTTCTTATAGAGAAGACTCCTACAGTCCTGGTCATGCAATTCATTCAGCTTGTGAAGAGTTTTTCTTTTAAAGAATAGAGAGGTAAGCTTTAGGATAGCACCTGTGCCAGTAGCCACAAATGTCATGGTAGTGAAACCGAATTAATGAGCTTTCATTATATATCGTCTCTGCAGCCCAGTGCACTGATAAATATGATCATAAAGCAATCTGCTAAGTAGAGAAAACTACAGTGATCCCTTTCGCTGATAAAAGTAGCAATAAAACACTCATCTGTGATTGCTTAACCACAAAAGCATAGGATTTGTTTTCTACTTGCCTCTTAGATGACATATAAACATAAATTGAAACTGCAAGAGGTTTTTTTCCCTAACTTTTCTATTGAAGTGAGCTAATTAGACCAATCAGCAAAGATAGGAAAAAGATGAGATAAATGACAAATGCTAATACTTTCATTTCCATAAGGAAATTTAAGCCCTGGGGCAGGGATCCGGAGAGGAAGTGGGGGTCCACATCTCTTCCAAAGTTCATCATTGAAAGGGATATTTCCAGTAAGATATTAGAACTCCAGTAAGAAGATAGCTTTCTAAACTGTCAAGTAATAATAGACCTAGCCTCTCTACATTCCATCCAAACTAAATAGTCATTGTTTGCCCAACTTGTTCAGGTAATTGATTGTTCTTTTGTGACCAGATAGGAAGGGTCTAATCAATACATTATTGTAGGGACACATTTTTTTCCCCATTTTCTGCTTCTTACCTAATTTATTCATACTGAAGCCGTGCTTAAACTACCTCAGGTTTGTGGTGTGATCTAGCTAATTAATAAATGGCAAGTATATAAATCTCTGTATAAGTGCTGCCTTAGTTTGTTTTCTAGCTTATGATATGCATGTCAAATTAAATATCTGGATATTTCATTGTAATATTCATGTTGCTAAATTTGATTTTAATTTAATATATAAATATGTTAATGGAAAATGAAATACTCAGAGTCTCAGCATGAATTGAGAGCATCAAGCTCAAGTCTGGTAAATATGGTACCTCAGGAAACAAAAGGGTACTTAGAAGCAAAACCAACCTATTTTGTTAAGGAGATTTTAAAGCACTCATTCTCAAAGGGGAAGTCAATATTTATTTTCAAGAATTGGTTAAGTAATTTTGTATTGTAATAGTTAAAATGCCAAAAATCTATCAGTGATTTGGATTTACAGATTAGAGGGGATTTAGCATTATGCCTGTGATAATGCAACCCTTTATTCCTTCATATGTTGAGCAAAAAATGGAGGGAAGAATCACAGCTAGTCCATATAGCTGAAAACCTATAAGAGCTAAACATCTGCCTTGATTTGAATATTCCTAGGAAAATATCAAACACTGTTTTTAAAAGGATATCGAAAGAGAAAGGAATGGAATTGATATCTAATCTTCTTGGTAACATCATCTGAAGGCTCTGTAGCAACTAGTTAAAAAGTAATTTTACTGCTGCCTTTACTTTGCTGCCATTTTGTCCTATATGATTAATTACTCCTTAGTCATTATTCTGAGTAGCAGTTTTATTTGCTAATTTGAAATGCCTCAACTTAATTAGCAATTCATTTTGACCTTTAAAAACTACATTCTATAATCTTCAAGTTATATGAGTGAAGCAGGGGGAAAAAATCTCATTTTACCTAGCCCCCCACTTTCGGCTACCATTAGCAGGTTACATTGTTTCTGAAGAACAGACGATTGTCCTGTGACAAGCTAGCAAGTATGATTGACCAAAGTCCAGCTTCAAATTTCCTCTACGGATGGTTTTAATTTAAGAAAATTAAAGTAATATATAATGTAGTACATTTGACTGGTAAATTTATTCATTTTTTAATTAATGAAAAAAAAGTGTAATCACTACACACAATAATGAATTCCCCTATTGCATCCATGCTATTTTGAGAACTCTCAGCACATTTTCTGCTTGGATTGTTGTTCTTCAAATGATTAATAGTCTGAATATAAGACCGCCAACAATGAGCAAGATAAGATTTTCTTATGATGGCTGACTCAGTGTCCAAATATTTTGCTTTGAAATCAAAATTTTTATTATGTATTCTCTGATTTCTTGAAGTTATCTTCACAGCTCAGTGGTGTGTTAATCAAGGTATATAGCAACATTGCTGCTAATGTTTTTATTGCCGATTGTTCAAAATCCTGACATGTTGAGTCAAAACCCTATGTCCTATGGGTCCAATTTTTTTGCTGTAAATAGTCTCCAAGAAGCTCAGAATGGTAGAATGTGATAACCTTTCTAATAACAGTTCCAAGAAAGGTATGAATACTAAATATGCGTAAGCAAGATAGTATTTTATCAAAACTATAACCTCCTTGGTTGAGTTTGAGACTAATGGAACAAAGGGCATTGTATAAGGAAAACAACCAACAGCAATTCTTATTCTAGATAGAACTGTCAGCATCAACAAGAACATACCTGCTAACGAAAAGACAACCCTTGCCTTCTAGGTGTCCATAGTTGACTTTTGGAACATTAATTAGTGGTTTAAGTTTTCCCTTCTTTTTCTTCTCTTTTTTTTTTAAAAAATATATTTTCTTTTTATTATATTTTTATTGAATTTTTTGAGGTAACTTTGGTTTATAACACTGTAGGTGACTTAGAGGTACAGTCTCACACTTCAGATGTATCTTGTTAGAGCTACTTTGTGCCTTTCATGTTTGTTGGCCATGAGGAGCTCTTGTTCAGCACTCTGGAATGGCTTGTCCTTCTCTTCACCACTCCTTTGCTTAACTAGAGCATGCTGCTATTAAAAAAGTGATAGGTGGGCAGCAAATATATGGGGGTATTTGCCATTTCAAAGACATTTTTTAAGCAAGTCAGTTTCTACTTTTGACTAAATATATTTTTAAAACTTCTATCTTTAGTCTCCCTTTCTTTCTGATTTAAGTTGTTGCCAACACTAAGTTCATCACCTACCTCTTCATGGAAGCTACCACCTGTGGGTGTTCTGGGTATTCCTTAGGCTACAGAGTTTAATTGTGATGAAAGCTAATCAGTTGCCCTCCAGGGTGGTGATACAGCAAGTGTTCCACCTGGAGGCTTGTAATGCCATTTTTGACAATTTTTTCTTTCATCATTTTGAGGAGTAAATCAACTAAGTAATTTTGTTTCTAGTCACTGTTTCAGAAACTGCTCACCTTCCCAGGTGAATGATGAGCCTCCTGTCATTTTTGGACCAGAACTCATTTTTTGTCTAGTAATACATGCCTTAGTTACTATAGGGCATTTTCTGTGTAGATGGTGAGTGCAAGGCAGAATACATGACCTACCTTTATGAAATATCAGTTATTCTCTGACATTGCTGGAATTTAAAGAGAACAAGCCATTTTTCCTTTACAATTATCTTTTTCATTCAAAGGTCTTCTGAGAATACAGACACCCCCTAAAAAAGAAAAACCGAAACTAAAACCAGTTTATCTTTTTTCACAAGCTCAGGTAACTCCATTTGTGATAAGTACTATGTGCTATGTTTACTATAAAATCATATATTCACTTAGTAGTTATTTGATTTCAGGGTTCCAGATAAAGGATATGTTATAGGGAAAATGATACTGGGATGAAACAAACAAATAAACAAACAAAACCACTGGATTTAGAATATGGTCCTGCCATTTATTTGTTCTTTGGTTTGGGGCAAGTTATATCATTTTTTCTGAACTTTAGTTTCTTCATGTTTAAAGTGGAGTAATGATACTTTTCTCATAAAGCTGTAAAATGTAAGCACATTAACTCTTTGCATGTTTTTTCTTCTCCCTTCTTCCCTGCCATCCAACTAGCTAATCATTGTTCAGTGTAAAATAGAACTATTCAGTGTGAGTGCTGGAAGATACCTATAAGATTCTCTTGCTCATCTCTTTCATTTTGATCATTCTCCTTTTTAGAAATTTGTGAAGAAATAGAACTGTATAAGGGAAAAGATCACTGCTAGTATAACTCTACTAGGAAAAAGTTTCCCTGAAGACCAGAAACCAAAGTCAATGAGAATTCCCAGGAGACACGTTTGTCTTACTTCTGCAGCACTCTTACCTCCATCCCAGGCTCAAGCAGTCCTGTCAGCTCCTCCCCTCAACCCTTTATGCCAGGATTTATGGGTTTTCACATAGTAAGGTCTTCACATTTGCTGCCAGTCAGCAGAGCTTGTGATATGTTCCACTCCAGCATGGATGAGAGGTACAGTTCCTCAAGGTATTTCCAGAGGCAAACCAGAGTTGGGCATATGTGTTTATAGATCATTTGTACATGCTATATATGTGTGCACAGATATAAATATCAGTCTGTTCCAACGTGACCTATTCATTTCTACATTTTTTTCTATTTGTTGATAAGATGCAAGATGAATAGCACAGCTGTGGATTATTCTGCTTTGTTCCTTTGTCTCATGATAGCAGCCATTTAACTGTAAAAATGAAGCTGGATTTATGACTGCCAGCCTGTTTGAGTGGTAATAAATGTCACACAGACATTGCTGAGTCATAAACTTTGTGAGTTTGAGCCTAACCCACTCCATAAATCAGTTTACTACATGAGACCCCCACCCCAGAAATGTAGCTTACTACAAATCGTAGTTAGAACGCAGTTGTCTAAATAAGCTTGACCCTTGGCACTTTGAGTTTTCACTGTTATCTGATTAGAATTTCATGTTTGCTGAGAAATTTACCTGTGATTCAAGTCTTCGACATCATGGATGCTTGGGAAGCAGGCATGTATTGGTGTGTAGCCAGAAACTCATCACTGTGGGTGGAGGATTGAAGTCCTGTGGGGAGGAGGGAGCCAGCCTACATCTTACCAATGCTGTTGGGGCCACAGCAGGTGTAGGAGGCCCATTTGACACAGTCCCTGATCCAAAAAGAGCTGTGCCTGGTGAGGTGGGAGGTCTGGGACTATATGGTCACCTTCTACATATAGCCTGAGCTCTTAGACTAGATTTTCAAACAATAGCACATGCTGTCTCCCTTTACACTTTTCCTTCTCTGTGTGTCCAATTGCCCACTGCTTCAAAACCTGGCTCCTTAATCCCCTTTCCTGGAGGAGTTCCTACAGAGAAGTCATGTTAATTTCACTAGCTCCTTCAGGCTTCATGACCCTACAGACTCCTTCCTTGAAGGATCCTGCACTCCTGGTTAGCTCTCTGCATCAGCCATGCTTAGGTTAAAATCTGTCTGCCTTATATGCCATTGGGACCTTGAGGACCTTGACAGTCCCAGTGGAGGTAAAAGAGAAATTGATATGTCTGCACACATAATTTTTTGAAAACTAGTTTCACTGGTTTAATTATCTGAAGGGGTTTTAAAAAATCATTTCCAGAAATGATCATGAATGTCATTTGAAACTCTGTGACTTAGGAGGCATCAAGATATAGCAGCAAGAAAGTTGAAATGTTGACGTTTGAAGTGTCATCAATGCTCTTCCAACACACACACGTACACACATACACATACATACACATATTTATAAATACATACCCCGCTACTTCTCTCCAGGTCCAGCTTTGTTGGGTAAAACAGGGAATGGATAGGGACTAGATGGTTTCAATTACTATATAAAAATATGAAGTAACTGGAATATTAAATAAAGTGACTATGCATGTTTGCTACTGTGCACTATAATGAGACAATAGCTCTGCTTCAAGAATAACTTCAGTATTTTGGATTGTGAATTAAATCAGCTAAAAAAAAAAAGCTGAATGCAGCCAAATCTCATGAAGCAACACTGATGCTGCTACATCATTAAATGGAGTTTTCAGTGACTATGCCCAGAATATAACACTATCATAAACTCCCAAATATGTCCAGAGAGTATCTAGACATTTTACTCCGTATCTGGGGTGGTAAAGGATAAGGCCATGGTACCAAATGCATATACCCCTCATATGATATGGTCTTTGAATTGTTCATGCTTCATTTTCTTGAACATGCTGTTGTCCAATATGCCCATTTCTTCAGCTTATAGTGAAAAAACAACATTAATTTTATAACTCAATATGTCAAATAATTTTAACAATTAAAACTAAAGAAAATATTAAAACCAAAATAAAATCAATGTGTGCTCAAGGGCAGCAGAAGAAAAAGTCTGATCCCAGTTACAGGGATAGTGAAGCTATTCTGCAGCCTATGTGTTGTCAAAAACGCAGGTGTGTAGCCACCATCAATCATTTCCAAGAGTCATCCCATTACCTCCTCCTGCCACAGCCCAAACAGAATGTTCTGTTACTGCTCCCAGGCTCCTGAGTCAGAAAGAAGCAGCACAAACCAGCAAGCTCTTTGAAAAGAAACAAGGTAGCATTTTCAGCAGGGTTGTAGGAAATGTCTGTATGAGAAACAGAAGAGGCTAGGCGGTCACGCATAGCATTGAGGCTGCAGTGAGAGGGACAGGGGAGCAGGGCATGTTTCTCATTCCCGAAAATAGCACTGCTGCTGCTGATTTTAGGTTCTGGCTCTCTGCAATCGATCCCATTCTAATCAGATCAGATCGACTATTGAAAGCCCCAAATCCTTGTCTGCTGCTGTGGAGAATGCCCGCCCACTCCATGCTGGATGGGACAAAGGGAACAATGGAAATAGGCTTTGGAACATAGCAAACAGGAGACAAGAATTGCTCGGGTAATAATGCCAGCACCAAGTAGCATGAATGCTCTCTGCAGGGATAAAACTCTCGTGTGAAATAATGGTTGTTACGATGGAGAATGTAAATAACAGGGAGAGTTCAAATTGAGTATTTGACAACACTGAAATCCTGTGAGCGTGCATTGCATGTTTATTATTTGAGAGCTTTATTTA